GCGCGGATGATCAGCGCGAAGTACGGCGGAATGCGGAACGGATACTCGAACGTGATCTGCGCAAGATCCGCGGCGAGCTCCTGGAAATTAATCCCCTTCGCGCCGCCGCCCTCCAACGCCTGGTCGAAAACGCGCGCGAGAACCGGCATGATCGGATTCAGATTCACGCCCTCGGGAATAAAATCTAGGAGGACGAAATCTTCGACGATCGCGGGGTAATCGCGGTGGATCAGATGCGAGATCGCCTCGATCATGCCGTACTTCTGAGTGTCGGTGATTCGCGTCATTAGGCCGAAATCCAGCACGCATAGCTTCCCGTCTGGTGTTCGAATTAGGTTTCCGGGATGCGGATCGGCGTGGAATAATCCCGTGTCTAGTAGCTGTTTCAAGTAGCAAATAACGCCGACGTTTACGAGCGAACCCACGTCGTCTGCCGTGCTCTGCGAAAGCTTTTCGCCATCGATCCACTGGGTTACCAGCACTCGCCGAGAGGTGTACTCCATGAAGGGCTTCGGAACCACGACCTGGGGAAGGTCCTTCGCCATCGATTCGGCGAAAAGCTCCGCGTTGCGAGCTTCGTTAACGTAATCCAGCTCCTCGAAAAATCGCGCGGCCCACTCGTCAACCAATCCCACCACGTCCGTCGCAATCTGGGGAATGCCGCGAAGAGCCAGCCCCAACCGTCGGATGATGTACAGATCAATCGTGACCGTCTCGAGAACATACGGCCGCTGAACTTTCACCGCCACGGCTTCCCCAGTAGATTTGAGTTTACCCTTGTAAACCTGCCCGAGCGACGCTGCTGCAATTGGAGCCGGGCTAAGCTCCGAAAACACCTCCGACGGAGGTAACCCAAGCTCATCCTCCATAAGAGCCATCGCGATATCGTTATCGAACGACGGAACTTTATCGCAAAGTTTCTGTAACTCCACCATCGCAGCAGGCGACAGGATATCGGGGCGGATACTCAGCGCCTGTCCGAGCTTAATATACGCCGGACCTAAGGACGTCACTATTTCTCTTAACTCCATCGCGCGTTTCACCTCGTTCTCCTTCAGCTTCTTCGTGACTATATCCGCCGCGACCTTCGTTAAGAAATCCCCCGATACAGCGAGAAGCTGCACGATTCGGCTGAAGATCGCGCCGGGACGCTTCTGCCAGTAAGTCGCGATTAAATCCGGGTCGTAGACCAGAGGAAGCGCCTCCTCGCCGCCTTTCCCGGTGTCGAACTCCACGAGTCGCATCGTGACGTCAGCATCAGCGAACTGCTCGTCCCGGAGGTTCTGCCCGCGCAATCCCCGCATGAGCGACGCGACCTGGCACAGGGGGGGGTGGGTGGGGGAAAGGGGGAATGGGGGAGGGGAAGGGGGAGGAGGAGGAGGAGGGAGGCGGGGATTGAGGGGGAAGTCAGGGGGGGGGAAGGCGGAGAAAGAAGGGAATGGCAGCCCTAGAAGCACTAGGGAAAGCGGAGGAAGCAAGAAGAACCGTACGAGGGGAGGGGGAGAGGAGTGGTGGGAGGCCGTTAGAAAATCGTAGAGGGTAGGAGGAAAGAACGAGGAAAGTGGGGAATGTTCTAAACGAACAAAGGTGGGTTGTGGAAGGGGCGGCGGAAGGGGGGGGGGGGGGGGGGGGGAGGGGGGGGGGGTGGTGTAAACGGTAGTTTGGAGGGATTGGCGATGGGGAAAAGACTGGGAGATTCGGCGGTACACGGGGAGCAGCGCGGTACCTGCTCGTCTTCCTCCATCTGCGCGCGGATGCGCTTCATGTCCGCCGCCATCTCCCCCACGCGCAGCTTCCGCGGACCCCCCGCGGGTCCCTCCGCTGCGCCGTTCACGCTGTACGCGTCTCCACTGGCTGCTCTGGACCTATCAGTGACTGCCGCGCGGCACGGAGCGGGCTGACGTGGAGCGGACGTACGAATGGAGTTAGAATTCTTCGTACTTAATCGAAGGGGGGAGAAAAAGGAGGAGGAGGATAAGGGAGCAGACCGCGGCGCGTTCTCTCGTGACCGAGCGCCTCTAGCCGGGCTAGGGTAACCGTTGGAATTAATGTTTGCGGATAAGATACGCGGGCTTTGAAGGCTGGATACGGCGAATGGTATTCTAAACGGGGAGGCCACTAGCGAGGCTGCTGATTGAACGGACGCCATAACGTCCAACACAATGACGACGGCGCGCTTAGCACCCAGCAGGTTGGCAGACGAGTTTTGCGACGTTTCAACGCGTCGCAGCGACTGGTTACCCCGCGCTGGAGAGTCGTGGCAGCCGCGAGCAGACGGGCCAGGTGCTCCAAGCCGAAGCTTGCGGCTGAACAAAAACTACTGAGGTAATCCAGCGACTGGACACGCTGAGAACAGGAAACCCCTTCTGTTTGTGGCAGGTGATAGATGAAGCAAGTCTAGGAACGAACCTCTGTTGTTCCAAAGCACACCACACGGCGAGATGGTTGGAGAAAGTAAGAGGGGAAGGGAAAGCAGTGAAAAAGGATGGGATGGGATGACAGGAGATGAGAAGGCTTCAAAAGGTCTGAAAAGGTATTTCACTTGCAAGCCGTCAAAATGCAACGGGACGGGTTACCGGACACCGTGTACAGTGCCGTACCGTGTGACTGCGTGAGGCAGAAGCAACGGAACGCAACATAGAGAACGAACGGACGGCCTGTGTGTGTCGGATTGGTGGTGTCGTGTCATCTCGTGTCGTGTCCGCCCTTCGACCCCTGATTCGTGTCGTGTCGTTTCGTTCCGTCTGTTTCTCCTCCGTGCGACACGCAGCTCGCCAGGTGGCACCAGCGATTGCAACAGAAACCTAGAGCGTGTGGCTGGGATCGACTGCGTAACAAAGTGGAAACCTAATATAAATCAACTATATACCTGTTCTGCTCTCCGCTGCCGTCGGGGATGTAGCTCAGATGGTAGAGCGCTCGCTTAGCATGCGAGAGGTATGGGGATCGATACCCCACTTCTCCAGTTTGCTTTTGGAGTTCCAGCCTCAAGGTGTTGGAAATATGCGGTCTTGGCTTGGGTGCGTGATCTATGTCAATCTGCTGTGGTTGTATCCACTAAATACGGCAATAAAGAATGTACATACTCCTATTCCAACTAATCCAAGAGATATACACTAGGAAAAATACCCCCACTATTGGCACAGCTCCATTTATCAGGTCACACCTGGCTATCGCTTTGAAGGCATGGTCTGCGACTTCTTAAACATGGCAGCCAAGCCTCTCCGCTTGGTGGACTCAGGACTAAGCTCCACACCCCCCGGACTTCCTGTGCCCATGCCCATGCCCATGCCATGTGCTCCAGCCAATGGGCTCGCGCCGCCATACCCGTGCCTGTGTGCCCCTGAATGACCATCCCCCACCCCATGCACATGTGGTGACACCCGAGATTTCCTGACAACCATCGGTGACGCCTGCTCACTGCCGCCTCCTCTCCACGGACTCATACCTCCACCACCACCACCACCACCACCACTACCACCAGCACCACCACCACCAGCAGCACCATGCATGGGACTGTTCATCCCGCTACGATGCATGGGGCTGCCCCCCTGGCTGGAATGGAAAGGCGACATGGCTCCCCCTCCCCCTCCCCCTCCCCCTCCCCCTCCCCCTCCTCCTCCCCCCACTCCCCAGCCACCGTACCCCCTCGGGGAAAGCGGGCCTGCGTTTTGCATGTGGCCGGTCTGGTTACCCATGCGGTTACCACCGCCAGCACCACCAGCAACATCAACACCCCCTATGTCACCACCATGGACACTGCCCCCACCGCTGCTACCCCCACGACTTCCCCCTTTGAGCTTCCGTCTGAACGTCCTTCTGAGCCCATGAGTCAGGGCTAGGTTCCCCAACACTGCCCCTGCAAACGAGTGCGTTCTGCCACCACCGCCGCCGCTACCGCCACCGCCGCCGCCGCCACTTCCGGTTCCCCCGCTTCCCCCGCTGCCGCCGTGAGTGCTGCCACCGCTGCTGCTACCCCGTGGCGATCTAGCAAAGCCAATCGGCATGCAGGAGACTCGAGGAGCCATGAGAGGAGACGCATTCTGCATCACTCCCGCGTCCTCATTCTCCTCCATCTCCTCCCCCCTGCGACCGTTCCCAGCCACGGCAGCAACGGCCGCAGCAACAGCAGCAGCAGAGCCGCCAGCAGCAGCAAACACAGCCGGGTTCGCTAGAGCACCGGCAGCAAGAGCAGCAGCAGGGGCGTGGTCAGGCAGGTTGGCTCTCGACGTGGGCTTTAAGGGAGGAGAGGATGATTCTTTATCAGCCAACTTTGCCGATCTCATACTTATGCATGATGCCCTAGCTCCTGCTCTGCTCTTCACCCGATTGAACCTAGAGAGCCTGTCTGCTTCCCCACTTGCTCCCCATGCCTCGTCATCCCCTGCCGCCTCCCCTCCCTCTCCTCCTCCTGCTGCTGCTGCCGCCTCTGCTGCTATTGACACATCCTTTGCTGCAGCATTGTGCGAGTCAGGAGCATCCGGGGTGATATAGAAGAGGGGCTTACTGCGCTGTGAATTACTCCGCGGCACCTTGCCGCTGCTGCTACTGCTTCTTAGCACCTTGGCACCATCAGTACCCTGCTCCTCCCCCCCCTTCCCAACACCCATGCCATCCATGTTATTGAGTGCATCGGCAGTGGGAGTGGGAGCACCTTGTAAGCACCCACCGTCCCCACCGTCCCCACCGTCACCCTCCCCACCGCCACTTGCATCATCAACATCCTCTTCTGCTGCAGCATCAGGAACCCATTTCTGCAGGCTCAGTCCCGCACTCATTTCTGAACCCCGTTGCTCTTCCTCCTCCTCCTCCCTGCCCCTCCTCCCCTTCCTTCCTCTCCTCCCTTTCTTCTCTCTTACACCATCATCCGGACTTCCAAACACCTCCACCACCGAAACCACCTCTTTCTCCTCCCTCTCCTCTCCCTCCTCACCCTCCACACACTCCTTCCTCTCCCCTCTCTTCCCCCTTCCAGCCCTCCCACAAGAAGACAAAAGCACCTCTGTGGGCGAAGACCCATCAAGGTGGTTGCCACTGGCGGTTGTAACCAGATACAGTGCTTCATCTGCAGGCGCTGGCACTATAGCGAGCTGACAACTCTCCTCCCCAATAGTAGCACCATTCGTTAGCGCCAGTTCTCCCTCTGCTGCTGCTGCTGCTGCTGCTGCTGGCACCAAAGCGAGTCCGTCTTCCTCCTGACGTTTCCCATCCAAAAGAGCTACTTGCATCTCCCCATCACCATCACCATCACCATCACCATCACCATGACCACCCTCACCACCCTCCTCACCCCGCTCATCCTTCTCACCCTCCTCCGCCCCCTCCGGCCCTTCTAGGGGCCCAGAGACGGGGGAGTGAGAGTGGGAGGAGGAGAGGTGAGACACAGTGTAGCGATAGGGCGAGGCAGACGGGGAACTCGCCCCTGACAAGCCCATATCCGATTCACCACCATCACCAGCACCAGCACCACCGGCAACACCACCATCAGCAGCAGCAGCAGCAGCAGCAGCACCACCACCCAGGGGCATCCCGGCCATGCCTTGGGCGTCCATGAGCAGTAGCAGGTGCTCCAGCTGCGGGTACTTAACGGCCAGCTCCCCCAGTAGCTCCTCTGACGGCAAAGCCAGGAACGTGGCTGATCCAAGGAGCTCCAGCAGCGACTGGAGTTGCGCCTGGGGGAATGGGGATTCAGGGATGGGGGAGGATGGGAGACGGAAGGGGGACGGACGGGGAGTCAAGTGGTGTCACTGGTGTGTGGACGCATGGGCATGGAGTGGAGGGTTGGTTGAGGGATGGAGGAGGGATGGAGGAGGGATGGAGGAGGGATGGAGGAGGGATGGAGGAGGGATGGAGGAGGGATGGAGGAGGGATGGAGGAGGGATGGAGGAAGGATGGAGGAGGGATGGAGGAGGGATGGAGGAGGGATGGAGGAGGGATGGAGGAGGGATGGAGGAGGGACGGAGGAGGGACGGAATATGTTTGGAGTGATTGAGTTGCAAAAGTGGGAATGTGCCGTGAAGGTTCAGCTAGCTTCAACATGGCCAATAGCACCCATACAAACGTAACAAAGCTAGCTGAAACAAATGTTGTGAGGCGTCTAAACACACACACCCTTCATACGCACGCACACTCACACCCCTGATACACACACACGCACACACACCCTCATACGCACGCACACTCACACCCCTGATACACACACACGCACACACACCCCTCACACACACGTCTCAGAAACATACACACTCCTTCACTCACACACAATCACACACACCCCTCATACACTCACCGCCACCCTCTCAGCCTGTTCCACCTCCATAGCGGCCTGCTTCTCTGCCGCTACTCGCCTCTCCATCACCTCCCCCACCTCCTCCTCCTTCGCCTCTAACTCCCGCCTCACCTCCCCTATCTCCTCCTCCCTCACTGCCAACTCGCGCCTCTGCTCCTCTACCTCCTCTCTCAACCCCTTCACCCTACTCTCTGCCTCCTCCACCTTCTCCTCCATTTCCCTTTCCCTCCTCTCCATCTCCTCCCTCCTCCTCTCCGCCTCCTCTTTCTCCCTCTCCACCTCCTCAGCCACCCCTCTCAGTGCCTCTCTCTCTGCCTCTACCGCTTCCAACCGCTCTCTCACCCTCTCCATCTCCCTTTCCACCTCCACTCTCCTCCTCTCCGCCTCCTCCTCTCTCCCTTTCCCCACTTTCACCTCACTCGAAACTCTTTCCATTTCCTTCACCATTTCATTCACCTTCTCTCTCCCTTCCTCCACCTCCCTCTCAAGAACCTCCCTCCCCTTCTCACCCCACTCAGCCTTCGCCCGAACCTCCTCCAGCTCCCCCCGAGCCTCCTCCGACTGCCTCCGAGCCTGCTCCGCCTCTTCCCGAGCCTCCTGCAGGCTGCGCCGAGCCTGCACCAGCTGAAGCCTAGCGTCTTCTGCGTCTCTCTTAGCTTCTCCCACTCTCTTCTCGAGTGCCTCTATCTCTCTCTTGACCTCCTTCATATCCTGCTCGTGAGCTGCTGTGAGGGCCTTTCTAACTTCTTCCACCCACACCCTCTCATCCTCATCCTCTCCAGTGCTGCTCTTTCTTCCCTCTCCTCCCTCTTCTCCTCTCTTTTTCTCCGCTCCCTCCTCATTTCTCGCTGTATTCTCCTGCCCTGCAGAGACTTCACCACCCGAACAGCTTTCTGTAAGCCCGAGCCTGCGCCGAACCTCGTCCAGCACCCGAACCAACCCTTCGTGGCTCGATATACCCCCCACCTTCCTTTCACCTGGCTCTCCCTCCTCCATCGCCTCCTCCCCCTCCTCCCCCTCCTCCCCCTCCTCCCCCTCCTCCCCCTCCTCCCCCTCCTCCCCCTCCTCCCCCCTCCTCCCCCTCCTCCCCCTCCTCCCCCTCCTCCCCCTCCTCCCCCTCCTCCCCCTCCTCCCTAGGCACACCCTCCTGTCCCTCCTCTCCCCCTCTAAACTCTAACCCCAGTTCCTTTGCAAGCTCTCCCACACTCCCCAACAACAACCTCACTTCCTCCCTCACTCTCTCCCCCTCCCTCTCCCTCTCCCTCTCCTCCTCCTCTTCCTCTTCCTCTTCTCCATCCTCACTCCACCTCCAGCCTGCCGAACCTGCTTGTCTCACCCGAGCCTCCGCACCTTCGGCTCGGGCCCGCCGAACCTCAGCTTCGGCTTCGTCCACCCTCTTTTTAGCCACGCCTGCCACAGCTTCGGCAGCAGCAATATCTGCTTTCAGCCTCGCTACCTCTAACTCAAGCTCCATAGACTTAGCTTCTTCCTCTTTAAGAGCATCCTCAGCACAGGATAGTCGCTGCGACAGCACATGCACATCCTGTCTGAACACCTGCAGATCTTCCCTCGCTTCTTTTGCCGCTGCCACTGCTTCCGCTGCTTTCCCCGCCTCTGCTGCCGCCTGCTGCTTCAATATACTCACCTCCGCTTGCAGTTTAGTCACCTCTACCTCTGCTGTCAAACGTCCCACCTCCACATCCCTCTCCCCTCTCCCTCTCTCCACTGCAAGAGCAGCTTCAGCGCTCTTTGCCCTCACTCTCTCCTCCTCCACCCTCCTCCTCAGCCCCTCACACTCCTCCTGCAGCTGCTCCAGCCTTGCTTCTAACACCGCCCGTTTCACCCCTTCAGCAGCCGCTGCTTCCCGTAACGAATCCATTTGCTTCTCCCACCCGGCCTGAGCTTCGGCAAGGTTCCCCGAGTCTGACTCGGATCGGGCCGTAGCTGCTGCCGCCTGGACCTTCAGTTCCCAAGCCAGAGCTTCGGCCTCTTCCGCCCGAGCCACAGCCTGCCGAGCCTCCTCCTCAGCTCCGTCAGCCCGCTGCCTCTCCGACTCGGCCCGAACCTCCACCTCCTCCGCCCTCTCCGCCTCCCTCCGAGCCTTCGCCTCAGCTTCGGCAACCCGCTCCCTCAGCCTCGCCACCTCCGCCGAATCCACCCCACCCCTCCCACCCTCCCCCGCCGAACCACTCTCCTCGGCTCGGCGCCGGAGCAGCGCAGCCTCGGACCGTTCCTGATCCAGCGCCGTAATCGCCGCCGCCATCTCCCTCCTCAACCGCACACAAGTCCCCTCAGCATCAGCCGCCTTCTGCTCTTGCACTGACAACGCCTGCTGAGCCTCAGCCAAACCCTGCCTCAGCTTCCCGTTACTCGACTCCAGCCAATCAACGCGCTGCTGCAGCTGCTGTACCTCGTCATCATTGTGGGCGGCAGAGGCGGCGGAGGAGGCGCGGGCGAGTTCGGACTGTAGCAGGCCGATCTGCTGGCGGAGACGGCGGACCTCCTCGGCGTCGATTTCTCCTAAGCGGTTGACGGTGGGCTTGTTGCAGATGTTGCGCGCCCGGTTGGCGTACTTGAGCGTGTTGATTGTCTCGTCTATGTTGCTGTCCGATGGACTCACACATGCTGAGGAGGGGAAAGAGGGCAGAGGGCAGAGGGCAGAGGGCAGAGGGCAGAGGGCAGAGGGCAAAGAGCACACACATGTGAAACACACACACACACAGAGGTGGCCCCAGAGAGTTCACAGACGACTCTTGGGCAGCGTAAGCATGTGAGCCCACACTCCACTCCAGCGTGAGCACGTGAAAGCGGTTCAAAGTGGTGAAGCTCACTGCACTCGCTGCCATCAACAGAGTGGAAGTCAGGGCAACCTGCGACCCGCCCTTCAGGGTAATACTCAGTGTTCAGGGTTCGGGAGCATTGAGTTCAGGGTAATACGAAACTCCTTTCAGTGCAAAGCACCCTTACCGCCCTTCTGGTTGATGCTCAGGGTTTAGAGATTGGGGAGTCCCACACTCCACTCCAGCGTGAGCACATGAGCCCACACTACTCCACTCCAGTTGCTACACTCACCAATCATGACGGTCCGGCTGTTGCCGCCCAGCGAGTCCTGTAGCAGCCTTGTCAGCTTGCTGTCGCGGTACGGCACGTGCGTGGGGCCGGACGGCCAGCCGCCCTTGCCCTCCCTCTTGCGCCGGTCGTCTTTATCCTTGCTGCTCAGCGCGCTGATAACATTCCCCAGTGCCAGTAGCCCACGGTTGATGTGGATGCCTGGGAGAGGGATGGGGGAAGGGGCAATGGGGAGAAGTGCTTGGGTGTGGAAGAGGGGTGGACGAGGCTTGGTGGGGATGGTTGTCCTTGGTCTTGCTGCTCAGCGCGCTGATAACATTCCCCAGTGCCAGCAGTCCTCGGTTGATGTGGATGCCTGTGAGAGGGACGGTGAAGAGGGGTAGGGGAGGGAGGGTTGGTGGTCAAGGGTTGCTTGCGCCGGTCGTCCTTATCCATGCTGCTCAGCGCACTGATAACATTACCAAGTGCCAATAGTCCTCGGTTGATGTGGATGCCTGTGAGAGGGGGGGGGAAGGGCGGAGGCACAATGAGGGTCAGTGGGGGAGTTATACTTGACCTCGCTGCTGACGCTGCCCAGCATGCGTCCTCTTTACCCAACATGCCCCCATACTCCCCTCAACTGCAAATCCACCCCTGCTCCCGCCCTGCTCCTGCATATCACCTTCCTGCATGCGCACCCCCTCAGCGTGCGTCCTCTTGATCTGCTCCGACCCAGCCAGGTCCACAGTTCGTCGCCCCCCTTGCCTCGTCCCCACTCACCCGCATCCCTCGCTCACCACATGCCCACCCGCATCTCACCTTCCTGCATGCGCACCCCCTCAGCGTGCGTCCTCTTGATCCGCTCCGACCCAGCCAGGTCCACCAGATGCATCTTGGCGCACAGATGCTCCTCGTCCGCGCGCCCCCTCCCCCCTCCCCCTGACCGCGCGCCCATGCCCCCCCCTCGGGGGCGGAACATGTCGATGAATATCGTGAAGATGGCATGGGAACGACTGTAGGATGTGGAGAAGCATGAGAAGTATGAGAAGTATGAGCAGTATGAGAAGAGACAAGTGAGGACAGAGAGTGAGAAGGTTCCTGCGACCATGCCCCCCCCCCCCCCCCTCGCGGGCGGAACATGTCGATGAATATCGTGAAGATGGCATGGGAATGACTGTAGGATGGGGGGGAAGCGAGAAGAAAGAAGAGCGAGGTTGAGTGCAAAAGCAGCCAAAGGTGGTCCATACCATACCTTTGACAGAAGTAAGGCCTCCGCACCCACCTGTCCTCTTTTGACAGCTCATACCACCTGCTCCGTCAACCCCGCCAGTAGCTCCTGCCCCCCAGCCACGTGCAAGTCTCACCTGGACCGTGCGTTCATGTTGTGCCCCCCGGTCGCCCTGAACTGCTCCGTCCTCGAGGCATGCGATCGCCTCCTCCCTCGAGTGCACCACCTGCTCCGTCACCCCCGCCAGGCTGATGCAACAAGGAAACTGCATAAGAGCAAAGCTCACCTGGACCGTGCATTCAGGTTGTGACCCCCGGTTGCTCGGAACAACAGCCCGTCCTCGAGGCATGCGATCGCCTCCTCCCTCGAGCGCACCACCTGCTCCGTCACCCCCGCCAGGCTGATGCCCCTCCCCGCTCTCCCCTCCAGTTGATTTTCGAGGCTCCTGAGCTTGTCAATGCGTTTTTTTTAACGCTTTGACAAGGAAACTGAATAAGAGCAACGCTCACCTGGATCTCGCATTCAGGTTGTGTCCGCCAGTGGCGCGAAACAACAGCCCGTCCTCAAGGCATGCGATCGCCTCCTCCCTCGAGTGAACCACCTGCTCCGTCACCCCCGCCAGGGTGATGCCGCCCGCCGTCTCGCGGATGCTAATTGGCTGCCGGCTCGGCCCGCTGCTCATGATGGCTCGGGAAGCAGCAGAGTGTGGGTATATGTTCGCCCCTCCCCCCGCCCCCAGACTGGTCAATTCCAGCAGGTCGCGAATGTCGTCCTTGTGGATCTGGAGGGGGGGCAGTGGATGGTGGGAAGACAGGAGGGTGGGAGGGTGGTTACTCTCGGCCAGCTGATCATGATGGCTCGGGAGGCGGCAGAGTGCGGATACATGTTTGCCCCTCCCCCCACCCCCAGACTGGTCAATTCTAGCAGGTCGCGAATGTCGTCCTTGTGGATCTGATTGAAGGGAGGGAAGGGAGGTTGGAGAACGGGAGGAAGTGAGGGTGGTTGCTCTCGGCCCGCTGCTCATGATGGCCCGCGAGGCAGCAGAGTGCGGTGCGGGTACATGCTCGTCCCTCCTCCTGCCCCTAGGCTCGTGAGCTACAGCAGGTCTTGAAGGTCGTCCTTGTGAATCTGAGAGTAGGGGGAGAGGAGAAGGTGGGAGTAAGGCCTCCGCAGCCCACCTGTCCTCTCTTGACAGCTCCAGCAGGTCACGAATGTCATCCTTGTGGATCCGAGAGATAGGGGGGAGAGGAGAGGGTGGAAGAGGGAGAGGATGGGAGGGTGAGAGGGTGGTTACTCTCGGCCCGCTTCTCTTGATGGCTCTGGTGGTTACTCTCGGTACATGTGACGCCCCCTTCCTCCCCCAACCTACTGAGCTCGAGGAGAGGAAAGGGTGAAAGAGTGATGTCTTTGGATTTGCCTCCACAATCCCCTCTCGCCTCTATCCCCACTCAACTCACTTACACACTTCCCCTCCCTCTCACCTCTATGAGCGCCACTCGGATCTCGAAGCGCGCCAAGCTACTCAGCTGCTGGTCTCTGGCCATCAGGAAGACTGCAGTATCCTCCTCCTCCCTCCCCTTCCCCCTCCCCTTCCCCCCCCCCCTTCCCCTCCCTTTCCCCCTCTCTCTTCTCACCTCTATGAGCGCCACTCGGATCTGGAAGCGCGCCAAGCCACTCAGCTGCTCCACACGCGTGAACAGTGTGTCCACTACGCGCCGAGTCACGCCGCCCTGCTTTTCCACCGCGGACGGCCCACAGCCGTCCACATCCCCATACATGCCGCCCTGCACCGCCGTCCCCATTGTGTAGGTTTTCCCTGACCCGGTCTGGGCGGTGGAAGGGAGAGAGGGGGAGTAAGGAGGGGCAGAGAGGAAAGAGAGCGAGAAATGGGGTTCTAGTAAGAAGGAAATGTGCAGGGGAAGGCCGTTACTCACGCTGCCTTCCTTATTGCTGTGCATGCCGCGATACATGCTGCTGTGCCCCGCTGTCCCCATGGTGTACGTCTTGCCTGATCCCGTCTGTGTGGGTGCGGACGTAGGCAGAAGGCACGGAGGGGAAGCATGGAATGAGGAGGAATGGAGGGGGGGAATAAGGGCTGTGCTTCGCTGTACCCACGGTGTATGTCCTGCCTGCCTGACCCTGTCTGTGTCGGTGCAAAAGGTGGAAGGCAAGGAGGGAGGAAAACGGAGGCCGGAAGTACCCACTTCTCATCCACAGACCATCCGATTCTCGTGTTTTGAGGCGCCTCAAAAGCCGCAAGGAGGGAGGAAAACGGAGGGGGGGAGGACCCACTTTTCGTCCACGGACCATCCAGTTATCATGTGTGCCCTCGTTTGAGACCTCCAGCTGCTCGTTCTCAATCCCTGATGGTACTTTTGAGAATTCTCAAAAGTACCATCATCGTGTGTGGCCACGTTTGAGACCTCCAGCTGATCCTCGTCAATCCCCCCAGGCCCAAGCCGCAGAACCAGCACACACCACACCCGTGTCCGTCTCTCCCTCTCACCTGCCCATAGGCGAACACAGTAGCGTTGCCTCCCCCGAACAGCCTGTACAGCCCTTGTTCCCTGCTCTCGCCTCGCCTGCCACTTCTCTCCTCTCACCCGTCAGTCCCCTCCCCCTCTCACCTGCCCATATGCGAACACAGTGGCGTTGTACCCCTCGAACAGCCCCAGCACCAGCGGCTCAATGCAGTCGTCAAACAGAAACGACATGGGCCGCCCACCGCCACCTCCGTATACATGGTCGTATGTGAATAGCCAATCCGGTAGCACTCGGACCTGTGATGGGGGGGGAGAAGCAGGAAAGGGTGTGGGGGCAGAAATGGTGTTAGCGGAGTTGAGGCCCAAGAGGACATGGGGCGACCACCGCCTCCTTCATACACATGGTCGTACGTGAATTGCCAATCCGGCAGCACCCGGACCTGTGATTGGGGTGGAGATCCGGCAGCACCCGGACCTGTGATGTCGGGGAAAGGATGGCAGGTGATGCAGAGGTAAGGCGCAAGTAGGCATGGGGCGACCACCGCCCCCACCGTACATGTGGTCGTACGTGAATAGCCAATCTGGCAGCACTCGGACCTGTGATTGGGGGGAAGAGGTGGGGAGGCACGGGGTAGGGAGGCACGTGGTGGGGAGGCACGTGGTGGGGAGGCACGTGGTGGGGAGGCACGTGGTGGGGAGGCACGTGGTGGGGAGGCACGTGGTGGGGAGGCACGTGGTGGAGAGGCACGTGGTGGGGAGGCACGTGGTGGGGAGGCACGTGGTGGGGAGGCACGTGGTGGAGAGGCACGTGGTGGGGAGGCACGTGGTGGGGAGGCACGTGGTGGGGAGGCACGTGGTGGAGAGGCACGTGGTGGAGAGGCACGTGGTGGAGAGGTAAAGCCAAGGGAAGATGAAGCAGTAATGTGGAGCACAAGAGGACATGGTCTCACCACCGCACCCACGACATATATAACATTCCAGATGAAGCAGTAATGTGGAGAACCAGCCAGGCACCCACTTGGACCGCCATGCACCTCTCTCCGTGTCACCATTCTCAACCGCTCTGCACCGAATCGTTCCGCATACATATCTTTCATCGCCCATACACACCTGCGGCGCGCCTCCAGGGGGAACAGTGACGCACTCCATACACCTCGTTGTAAGCTCCCTCGATATAAGCGGTCGAATGTTCACCGCTACAGTCACAGGCTGCGGCCCATGCGCCACACCAATCAGCGCACTGCTGCTGAACTCCGCCCCTCCGCTGATTCCGCTGCTTCCGCCGCCCGCGCTGAACCCCGCACTGACCCCCGCGCTGACCCCCGCGCCGATTCCTTCCCCCCCAGCGCCATATCCTCCCCCCGCGCCGTACGCCCCCGCTTTCGCGTCGGGGAAATACGCGCTCCTCCCTTCCGCGGAAAACCCTCCGCCGATCCCCCCTCCGCCTGCGCCGAATCCGAGCCTCCCTTCCGCGCTTGCGACTGCGCTTCCGCCATACATCCTTCCCCTTCCTTCCCCGCTGCTTGCAACACTCCGCGTGCGCCTCTCCGCTCCGCCCGCACCTCCCGCGCCTCCCCCGTCCAAACTCCCCCTCGCCCCCCGCGGCCGGGCCACCCACCCCATGGCCGGCCCGTCGTTCCTCGCCGGCGAAAGCGCCTCCTGTGGCCGGTAAGTCTCCTGCGGCCGGTAACTTTCCGGCCGGTAATTTCCGGGAAGGCTCATTCTCCTCGGCTCGAGCGGCGCGAATCCAACCGTCCGCTCGCTCGGGGCGCGTACAAGCCCCCCGATAAAAGAACACCCGTCATTATCCGAGCCGCCGTTCCTCCACGACGGAGCCGCCAAATCTCCCGACGCCCTGACGGACGACGTCACCTCCGCGGATCGACGGAAATCGTTAAATTCTGACGGACGTCGGTAGTCGGCGAAGTCTGAGGGATCCGGGGACGCGCTGCGCGCGGGCTTGGGCCGCGGCGTCCATCCGAACCGCTGAGGGCTAGCTTGGGAGATCGTGGGGCTAACTTGAGCGATCATGGGGCTAGCTTGAGTGATGACGTGGCTAGCTTGGAAGGCTTGGGTGGTGTGCGTAGTTTGGTTGATGTGACTAGTTTGGGTGATATGGGCAGTTTGACTGATGGGAGGAGCTTGGGCGGTGTGAATGGCTTGACTGAAGTGGGAAGGCTGGGCGATTTGGGAACGTCCGAATCGTTCCGGGGTAGCGGCTCGGGATAGCAGATGCAGCTGGGTACGTTCCGCATGTTCCGCCGCATTCTGCGGCTGCTTGCTGACCGTTACAAGTGGCTTCTCGGGAGCGTACGGTTTCAACAGCGAGCTGCTAACCTCTCCCTGGTTGCTCACCGTGGAACGCGGCGGGTTTTGCGGAGCATCGAAGAACAAAGCCGGCTCCGTTATTCCCGCGTGATTACTGCCCGTTACAAGCGGCTTCGTCGCAGTATCGGAGCAATCAGAATCCGGGAGAAGCAGCTCCGTTGTGCTTTCCTCCTCCGTGTCCGCAGCTGCATGTAGCTTCCCTGCTCCCGGCTTCTGCTCCGGGAAAAACTTTGCACTTATTCTGTCCTGCGCGTTCGACTTTTGAGGCGCCTCAAAGGCTGCATGTAGCTTCCCTGCTCCCGATTTCTGCTCCGGGAAAAACTTCGCACTTATTCGGTCCTGCGCGTTCGCGTCCGCAAGTGGCTTCTCTGTTCTCGCCTGCTGCTCCGTACCGAACGTCGCTTGCTCGTGTTGCTTCGCAGCGATTCGAGCCGGCCTTTCCGGCCGCTCTTCACCTGTCGACTGGGCTTGCGACTCAATCGCCGCATTCTCCGGGATAGCTTGCTGCCGCTGCTTCTCCTGCTGCTGTGGCGGCTGCTCCTGCTCTTGCTTCAGCTCCTGCTTCTGTTCCTGCTGCTGCGTGTTTTCGAGCTCACGTATCACAGTAATCTTCTGACGCCATGCTTCCGTAGTTGCTTCCGCTGTTTCCGCTACTTCTCTTACTTTCACTTCCTGCCGTGCTGGCTGTGCCTCCACTGGCGTTCCTTCCGAGTGTTTCACGAGCTCTTTAAGAACCGTCTGCTGCGTGCTCCTAACTTCGAGAGCCACGGAAATCGTCTGCGGTGACTTCTCCAAAGCTTCTGCCCTGACCTGACGTCTCTGCTCCAGCAATTTCTCCTCTGAAGTTCCCTCGAGGTTTACTGGAGGAGCCTGCTGCTCCTGCTGCAACTCCTGCTGCTGCTGCTGCTTCTGCTGCTCCTGCTCCTGTTGCTGCTGCTGTTGCTGCTGCTGCGCCTGCTGTTTCTGTTTGTCGTCGCTTGTTTGAGGAGGTTGGTGAGAAGCCCTGACCACCTCGGAGGGAAGCTCCAGTATTTCTCGACCCCCGGGCGTCTCTTGAGCCGCAGGCGAACCTTGAACCACCGGCTTCTCGCCACTCTCCACCGCTTTGCTCGTCATTACCTCCACTTGGGCTTCTATCGGCTTCTCCTGCAAATGATCTCGCACTCCCTCCAGCACCATCTCATGCACCTCCTCCTGCACCTTTTCCACTATATTATCCTGCATCTTCTCCTCTATTTTATCCTGCAATTTCTCCTCTACCTTCCCCTTCATCCTCCCCTCTGAATTCTCCTGCACATTCTTCTGACCCACGACGTCGACTGGCTCACTTATAAGACGCGCTCTTCTATCCTCGGTCACCGTGTCGCTACCATCGTTCGACAGTCTCATAGCCGTTACTCCACCTCCCGTCTGCGGAAGTTCCACGGCCGGCGGCGCGGAGAGCGCCGACGTCGCCTCCTGGGACTCGTCCGCGCGGTCGTCAGTAAGGTTGGAGAACAGACCCGAAGAGTCTATTGATTCCGCAAACCCGTCCAGCCAAGCTACCTCCGACTCGCTCTCCGCTTGGTAAAACTTCTCCTGATTCCCCGCTTCCTCCACGTTTTCGTACTGTTTGACGTGTTCCTTCTTCGCTCCTTTTCTCCCTCCTCCCGACCTCCTATCCCCCGCGGGTTCCTCGCTTCCGAGGGACGCTTCCGAATCTTCCGTTTGAATCAAGTCTAGTGTCTCGGGTTCAGAAACCGCATCTGCATATATGGAACTTTTGGCCGGGGATTCATTCGGGCCCTGAACTGTGCTGGAAGGGGAGTCGGAATGTCTATTAATGGCAATAAACTCGGATGCTACAATGTTTTCCCTCCTTATACTGGACTCCGCGGTTGCTCCTGGAGAGGAGTGACCATGAGTTTCGGATATAGAATCGGGACCCTCGTCTACCTCTCCCCACTCCATTGGCAACATAAGCATCTAAACTCGTAGTCTAATTCGACGACTGTCACTTTATCTGCGGATATCTACTCAGCTATCAACATGTCCAAGAAAGGAACTACGACTAGAAGAGAGCCTGATTAATGGTCCTGCCTGCATTGAAGAATTGTTCCCGCAAAGTTCGGACTGCTGAGCGATCAGTCTCTACGCATCAACGAGGGGGTCCTTATGTATGGTCTGCTGATTCTGGTCTGCTGAAAGGCGACTTGTTTGGGCTTGGCTTCAGAAAAAGAATTGACGACGTTCGATGAAGGATTGATTGCTGACAGATTACGCTGGACGGATGGATGGGTGCTTGGCTGATTGGTGCAGAGCCGACGAAGCTTGAAAAGAATGCCACGTGCTCGCATCGAGACGGTTTTCGTTTAATTCAAAGACCGAGATGCTGGTTTTCGCTTCTGAAGCGTCGATTTTAACGTGACGACAAGACCGAGTCCGTCAAAATCAACGACGTGCTGCCCGAGAGCCGAGTTCAAACCAGGACCAGTTGGGGCCTAGGTTGGCGCCCATATGGAAGGCACGAAGCGCGCCAGACCTCCCATCCGTCTGTTTGGGAGGGGAACAAAGCCGTTGACCATGCCAAAGCAGCCCAGGTTACGAGTCGCGTACTCTGTCCCGCCAATATTCGAACCCCAACATCGAGGCTCGTTCAGGAGGTGTGTCAGGCTGAGTGATTTAGTGGTGTTTCCATAATGTCTCTACACCATCTCAAATGTCCGTCGCTAACAATGAAATTCCAAATTACAAAACTTCCAGATACTTCTGTGCCTTCCAGCTTGTCAGGAGCGCTGACAAGGCTACCAAGCGATTCGGTACCAGACTGGGTCGTGGCACAATGATCGAAATTTATTGTTTATGGCCATAATTGCACACCCGACAATAGCACCCTTCGATATGGAGGAACGGCTGTGGCTACACGTGGCATGTGTCGATGCTTGGCCGAAGACCCGACACCTGGCACTGGCAGGCCAGCGTGTCCGTCCTTTTTCTCGAGATCATTTTCCAATATCAAAGCAAACGACGTGTTACAGAATTCGTTAGTTCGTGAACCGCCGCAGATCCCACAACACAGAACCTTTTGCGAACGACAGCTGTATTCGCGAATACGGAACTCCCTACATTGTTGCTGATCCTTCTGCTACGCCTCTCCCTTACATGAATGTAACTCGCACATTGTCCTACTTCCCTGCCTTGTTGAGCATCTAGCATCCCTTTTCCCACATCCTTAGCCAAATTCCCTTCGCACTAATCAGTTCCCAGCTTTCACCCGCGCTTGCATGCACCTGAGCGCTTAGGCCAGGTCGGTCATTTCGGGTGACTGGAAACCATTTATTAACGGTTTCTCCTGGTTGTGCAGATGGTTTTATCGCGCGTGATCTCGAAAATGGAGACCCCAGGCTTGACCCTCCCCAGATGCCATTCAGCCACAGCAAGACTACGAAACGCTGCTGTGTGCTTGAGAACAAGCATTCCAGCATCCTCCTTCTCCCTACAACCAGAAACTAAGACTGCGCTACCACGATTCAAGCTCCAGCTGGTACGTCGCCGGCCAGCTGATTACCATCGCTTATCCAATAGCGGCATTTTCTGTAAGCTGGCTGCACATCCTTATTTATTCCGGTGTGTTTCTGTCTTGCAGGCAAGAGATCAGATTCGCTACCAGAGAATACCAGCAGGTATGCTGAGTCAGCATCGCTCCCTACCACCAGCTTACTACCCCATCCATCCCTGCTCTGCTCAGTTCCAATTTCATATCCTCTAATTCATCTTGTTGTCCACGCATTGTCCCTGGTTGCAGTTGCTGTAGCTGCGACTGCGGAAAGTGCAGCGAGTTCGACTAAGGGTGTCAAGGTGCAGATCACTCTGGTCAGAGAATGCGGATTCGGTCAGGCCTTCGGAGTGGTGGGAGGAGCGCCGGAACTCGGCCAATGGGAACCGAGCAGAGCACTTCAGATGGAATGGTCGCCTGGCCACGTCTGGTCGGCTCAAACTGTGAGTTGCTTTCCTCTCTCACACCTCTGGCCTTCCATCCATTTCACCCCCCAGTGTCATATTCTCGTCCGTTCTCGTAAACCTTAATGACCTCGAGCTGAACCTACGAACATGATCACTCGAAATAGTTTCCGCGACCAAACAGATTGTTTCCAACCTAATCGTCAATCCCCCCATCAATTCTGTCAGGTGTTGCCTGCCGGGTCACGGATCGAGTTCAAGATCATCATGGTGACAGAAAATGGAGATATCGTGTGGCAACCAGGCCCGAATAAGACAGCCGTTGTCTCCAACGCCAAGGGGAAGCAGCTTCTTCACCTCCCCTGGGACAATGAGGACCTTCCGCCTCTTCCGCGGACGGCGGACGCTGGCGCAGTGAAGGCAGGCGCGGTAGCGCTTGCTCCGGAATTTCAAGAAGCGGAGCTCGCGAGCGGGAATACATCATTGAAGGTACAGTATGAGGGTCTGTGTTCTTTGCTGTTGGGTCTAGCTTAGCTTCGCTGGTAGAGGCACTTCTATGCGGCCAAAGAAGCGGAATAACAGAAAGGGTCAGACTAAGACTGAGCGGTCTTTCACAATTCTCAAGTACGACTACCGTCTAGGCACTGTCAGTCACCTACGGCCGCCTAAGACCGAACGATCCACTGTCACCAACGGCTTGCAGGGAGCGGGCGAGGAGAAGGCAGAGGCGGCTGAACGCACTGAGCCGGCAGTTGAGGCGGCTGTAGCGCCCTCCGCACAGGCGAAGGAGGCAAGTGGCGGGCAGGCGCAGGAGAAGGCCGAGAAGGAGGCCAGGGAGGAGGAGGCAGTGGAGAAGACGAGAGCCGAGGCTTCCCCTCCGGAACCAGACGCTAAAGAGGTGAGGCGTTGGCCGTTGAGCGTACCTTTGAGCGTGCCTTCGAGCGTGCTTGTAGGGATGGTGAACGGGCGAAAGGTGGGTAGCGTGGCGAAACAAGCAGCGGTTTATCTTGTGGAAGGCAGAATCGGAAAGGTCGACCTTGTAGCCAGCGCCAGATGGGTTAAGGTCGTGACTGTTACGAAGCTAGGATGGGCTACGGGTGCTCACGCATACTCTGAAGTATGCCACACATGCTCGGAATGTGGGCGAATTTGTTTTCTCAACCCCTCCCCTGCCCCCCAACACAACTCTGCCTGGTGTTCCCCAACATTCCCCCCACATTCCCATACATCCGTCAGCCCAACTCCGTCCCCGCTGATGACCAGCCTGTCACCTCATCCATGCTGCTAGTTCAGCCCCCCATCGCATTTACTTGGAATAGTACAGTACCAAACCTCCCACTCTCATACGATAGATACTGATGTAGAGCCGAAGCCCTACCCTGGAGGCAGGGAGTGGAAGGGAGGTGGGGAGGGGGGATCACTCACAATCTTCCCACATAGGGGCGTAAATCCTATGCCGAGCCATTCTGTCTCTCAATTTTCCCCATCCCCCACAATTATCCACACACCTTACAAGTCCAATAGCCTTCCATGAACTTTCCTATTTCCTACGGTCCACCTCCCCCTCCCCCCCCCCCCTTCCTCCCCCTGCTCGAAGTTCTCCATTCATGACCTCTTCTCTCCACTCCCTTTGATTTTTTTTCCACTCTCACAACCAGGGCACTAAGCAAGCGGGTCAAGGCTCCAAGGAGGAGCCTGTCTCACCAAAAGCTCGAGTGCTGCAGGCAGATGCAGCGCGGGGGCAACACGTCTGGGGGTTGCGAAGTTATTTTTCTCCTTCCCTGCCCTCGCCATCATTCACAACCTTTGTAATCCCCCGTGATCTCCCCGTGGTCCCCCTGTGATCTCCCCGTTTTCACAACCAGGGCACCAAGCAAGCAGGGCAAGCCTCTAAGAAGAAACCCGTCTCGCCAACTGCTCGAGTGCTGCAGGCAGATGCAGCATGGGGCCAGCGCGTGTGGGGTTCGCTAATTTCCTCATGGGGACGCCAATCGCTGATGGACGAGGAGACGGATCGGAATTAGGGTTTCACTCGTTCTGAGGAGTTTTGGGGCGCCTCAAAGCTTGATTTCGTCGTGGAATCGCAAAACTCTGATAGATCGGAAGTGTTGGATTGGTATAAGGGTTTCATGCCTTCCAAGAATTAGCACGTGTTGCTGGCTTTCCTCCCTGTCTCCTAAGCAGAAGATGGCACTGATATGTGCAGTTACTAGCATTTTGCGTCTCTTATCATCTATTTTTTGCCTGGAAGGCCCCCAGCCAATGTCTTAATTTTCGGTTTTGCTGCCTCTTCGACTACTAAAGCACGACCACGTTAGCGCAAGCAGTTGGGATTGGATTTCAGATTGCGTCCAACATCAAGTCTATTTTGAGCTCGAATACAGTATATCAAGCTCTCACACTTGGTCACACTTGGTACCGTAGTTTTGCCAAGGGGGGTGTCGGGTCGGTCTTGGGTAGCATTGTAGACAGTCATACCATTATCAGATACTTCAATAGGTGTGCCTCGGGCAATAGGGTTTCAGATACCCCAAAAGCATTCGTGCTGGCTCCAGGCCATCAGCCATTGACTCAGGCCCTTGTATTGTTTGCCAACAAGGTGATAGAGAGAGCAGGCAGAAGCATGGGATTCTCATCGCACACCTTACCCACATGGATTGAAGTCACGTAGCATGATATCATAAGGTCTGTACAAATAACAATTACGATATGTGCATTCCGCTGTGGACACTGTCCCAATCGATGTGTCCCAATCGAGTGTACCGCTCCGAACCGAACTAAACCAGAGACGCGAAAATTTCGAAACTAGGGCGTATTTTGGTGTAATACGATGCAGTGCGGTAGAAACAATTGAGACACTTTCGATTGGGACATGTCCAGTGCGGAATGTACCCTCAGGTGAACTCGATGGCATGCAGAAACCTAGTGATATTGCACTCACGAGCTTATATTGCATGATGGTGGCAACTCAGCCACCAAGGGATAGTGTGGGAAAAAGTCCTACCAGAGCAGACGGCATCAACAACATCATGCCACTATGAAACAAGCCCTTTTTGGATATACCTCCTCGCACCGTAGCTTTGGAAGCACGGCAAGAAAGTAGTACATAGGAATCTCCATATTACCCCAGTAAATCTCCGAAATTTTAGGCCTATTGCACGAAAACGTGCACTACACTTCAGGCGAGGTACCCTCTGCTTCCGCTCAGTCGCGAAGCCTCCACATCATAATCCGACATGGCAGACACAGCATCCACATCTGTCCTTTCAGGCGCAAAAGTATAACTGCTTATCTTCACGCGTGGTACCCTCTGCTTCCGCCGCTCATCTGCGAAGCCTCCATGTCATAATCCGACATGGCAGGCGCCGCTTCGCCATGCGTCCACTGCTTGTACTTGCCCTTGAGCTTGTCCGACAGCTGATGCTTCGACGAAGCCGCGGCGCTGGCGGCTTCCGCGTTCGCGCGCCGCTCCGCCTCCTCCTCGCGCTGCATCTTCGCGACGAGCTTCGCCGTCGCGACGGCTTCTAGATCCTCGTTATAGTCAATGAACCCGCACACGTGGATCATCGTCGCGAGCAGCAGAACGACCATCTGCGCCGCGAAGAGAACGAAGTAAAGCGCGCCGACGATTCGCACGTACTGCTCCCCGACAGCCTCCGTCGACATCGTCGGATCGACGGCATCGACGGTGTTGTTGAAAAGCAGGAAGGTGCAGAGAAACGACGCGCATAACCCGGCGGAGCTCACGGCGAGGCAGAACATGTGGCAGTTGAAGCAGCCCGCTTGGCCGGAGGAGATCGTGCCGAAGAGCCCCGAGATTACAACGAGGACGCCGAGGAGGATGAAGGCCCAACCTGTGAGTGTAGGCGACGACCTAATCACGAATTGGAGGGCGATGGTGGAGATTGCGCCGAGGACGATAACGATGTTGACGAATCGCAGGAAGCTCTTCGACATCTCCGAGATGTTGCCCTTGAGCGACTTCTGCGGCTTCGCCATGGCGACCTCCTGCGACGGCTGCGACGGGTGCGACGGCGGGTGCGAGGGTTGCGATGCGAGGTCTGCGAGGGCAGCTAGAGTTGCTGCGCGCTGTGCTGCAAGGGAGCTACGGAGCTGCTGCGGGGTTCACGAGATAAATGATTTCGGAAAACGCGGTGCTTAATTACGCGGAATGATTAGACCCCTGTTTTAGGTCCTAATAGTAAGCTCGGGAACCGCCTACTGCTGCTGCGAGCCCGAATTATGTTTCAGCTGGTGTTTCCCTGAGCTGGACGGATCAAGCAATGTTCGTGCCGGAGCAATGAGCGAATGCTTTCCAGGACACAGGAGCAGGCCTCCAGACGCGAGCAGTCAGCAGCCAATTTTGCGGGGTATCAATCTTGGAAAGCCGTGGGAATGCTCGGAGGAATAGCAACCGACTAGGAGTCACGCATACTAGTCACGCGAGATCGAAGCAGCGGCTGAGTGAAGACGGTTGGGAACTAGTCGAGGCAGAGCGAAGCAAATCACAAATGGCACTCCTCTGTGTTGTTGTGCGTTGGCACTCCCTGCGTTTCAGTGCATAAGCTGGGCTCCACAGTACGAAAGTCTGACTGACTGCGCTTCCTGCTGCTCCAGCTAGTCAGCCAACCATGCATGTTCACAGGGAACCTCGACTTGAAAGGTCAAACGCGAGGCGTGAGAGACGGTTTTTTAGGTTCAAAAACGTTTGATCGTGGTTCATAGCGGTGGGTCGACCTTGGACGCTGGAAACCAAACCGAAAGTCGCGGTCAGGAGGTGCGGCTGCGCGGGACTGTCTGTCATCTGTGCGACCCGGCGAACCATTTCAGGCATCGCCCATCCGTCATTCACCTTGATGCTTTCGCCAATCAATCCGCGGGGCTGGAAACATGTCCGCAGATGGGGGAGCTGGGGGCGGACTTGAGTGTGGGGGAAGGCCAGGGGGTTCGGGAATATCGCGGACACAGCGGAGTTCCGTGAAGAAGCGAAACGCGCTGACGCTCAGAGCGAAATCTGCAGCTTCTGTAACCAGCATTCAGGTGGGGGAATGCGTGTCGCACTGTTCGCATGACCGTTTCAGCTTTGGTGAAAGGCGCTTCGAATTGTGTCAGCGACCCAGGAATTTGTCTTCGATAAGGCAAGGCACCCTTACTGTACAATACCCGTTAATAAAATCACTACATCATTAGAAATGTCGATGTCGTTGAAGGATTTGTTCACACGAAGTGTGCGACGCCCTCGACGACGCAGTCCAATCACGCAAGATCCCAATTACTCCATCCGCTTGTCAAGAGTTGGTTTCAGGCGGTTCTGTAGGTTCTAGAAAGTTATAGCGTGTACTAAGTCCGATTTCGAGCGAACTTACAGCCTCTATTTTTTGAACCTCCGCATTCTCATCCGTACGACCTGCGAGTATGCGACGTGCTGTGTGAACTCCCCGCTTGGTACCCCCCTGTCCTCCAGGTATCTTGGTTCGGCTGGCCACAAGCCACAAGGGCTTCAAACGAAACAGCTTCTGCGCAAAAACGCGTACACATCTGACCACCAGTGGTTCTACACCACACAAGCTGCCCAGTCCCCAACCAGTGGCAACACCAGCTAAATAGTATCCTCGACTCAACTGTCATTCCATAGAACTCTAGGGAGCCGTTGCATTGCCGGGTAGTTATAAGTCATAATCTAACTCTCTACGCCCAGCTTTAGCACGAGTCGTGACATTTTGCTCGTAGTAGCGACTTGAGTGTAGATGCCTACTGCACTTTCACGGCTCGGCTTTGACTACCCTGTTTATCATGCCCTAATATTAGCTCGAGCTCTTTTCCGTCTCTATAACCTGACTGTTTTAGTTCCGGATACGTTTCAACCTTCTCGCAACATTCCGTACGCGTTTGTCGACGACTCGTTCCGCAAACGCCGCTAACCGTTCAGGCTTCTCGAGAGCAGTGCCGTGCAAATCAGTGTTCCTCAGTATCATTGTATAAAGTAGAAGTCGCGTTCTAGTAAATCAAGTTAATATTCACGAATTCATCGCTAGACCAGAGAGTAATAAGCAGATCTTGTTCAACCTCGTCGCACGGGACCTTATAGTAATATTGAGGAATACCATCGACAACGACTCTCGTATTTCTGCCTATTCGTTGAAGTGAAGTCGAGGCGAGATCTGCTGCAAGCCTGAGTTAGGGTTTGAAGCTTAAGAAGTTGGTTGTGGGACTACGTGGCGTGATACAATTGGAGGCCGAGGGAACGGGGTAGAATGACGTCAGGCCTGCGTCAGCAACGGCTCTGTCGGACGTCAGCATGACGAAGGTTTACCAGGCGTGGAAAGGCAGCAATGTAAGCATGCGTCGCCCTTCCAGCCATGCCCCCATGCACCATGCAGCCATGTACCATGCACCATGCAGCCATGCACCCTGCAGCCATGCAGCGATGCGCACATACAACCATGTAGCCATGCAGTCATGCAGCCGTGTAGCCGTGTAGCCATGCACCCATGCGTCCATGCACCCATGCGTCCATGCACCCATGCGTCCATGCACCCATGCGTCCATTGTACCCATGTTCACCCTTTCACACATGCACCCTTTCAGCCATGCATCCATGCACCCATGCACCCATGCAGCAATGTTCCCATCCAACCGTGCATTCATCCACCGGTTTAGCCTTGCACCAATGCATTCATGCGTTCATGCACCCGTGCACCCATGCACCCATGCACCCATGCATTCATGCAGCCATGCACCCATGCACTCATGCACCCATGCACCCATACATTCATGCACCCATGCACCCATGCATTCATGCACCCATGCATTCATGCACCCATGCACCCATGCACCCATGCATTCATGCAGCCATGCACCCATGCACTCATGCACCCATGCACCCATACATTCATGCACCCATGCACCCATGCATTCATGCACCCATGCACCCATGCACCCATGCACCCATGCACCCATGCACCCATGCACCCATGCACCCATACATTCATGCACCCATGCACCCATGCATTCATGCACCCATGCATTCATGCACCCATGCACCCATGCACCCATGCATTCATGCAGCCATGCACCCATGCACTCATGCACCCATGCACCCATACATTCATGCACCCATGCACCCATGCATTCATGCACCCATGCATTCATGCACCCATGCACCCATGCACCCATGCATTCATGCAGCCATGCAGCCATGCACTCATGCACCCATGCACCCATACATTCATGCACCCATGCACCCATGCATTCATGCACCCATGCATTCATGCACCCATGCACCCATGCACCCATGCATTCATGCAGCCATGCACCCATGCACTCATGCACCCATGCACCCATACATTCATGCACCCATGCACCCATGCATTCATGCACCCATGCACCCATGCACCCATGCACCCATGCACCCATGCACCCATGCACCCATGCACCCATGCACCCATGCACCCATGCACCCATGCACCCATGCACCCATGCATTCATGCACCCATGCACCCATGCACCCATGCACCCATGCACCCATGCACCCATGCACCCATACATTCATGCACCCATGCACCCATGCATTCATGCACCCATGCATTCATGCACCCATGCACCCATGCATTCATGCACCCATGCATTCATGCACCCATGCACCCATGCACCCATGCATTCATGCAGCCATGCACCCATGCACCCATGCATTCATGCACCCATGCATTCATGCACCCATGCACCCATGCACCCATGCATTCATGCAGCCATGCACCCATGCACTCATGCACCCATGCACCCATACATTCATGCACCCATGCACCCATGCATTCATGCACCCATGCACCCATGCACCCATGCACCCATGCACCCATGCACCCATGCACCCATGCACCCATGCACCCATGCACCCATGCACCCATGCACCCATGCACCCATGCACCCATGAACCCATGCACCCGTGCACCCATGCACCCATGCACCCATGCATTCATGCACCCATGCACCCATGCACCCATGCACCCATGCACCCATGCACCCATGCACCCATGCACCCATGCACCCATGCACCCATACATTCATGCACCCATGCACCCATGCACCCATGCACGCGTGCTGATTGTAGACCAGCTCGCTCCCTCTCAGACTCACCTCCCACCATCTCATGACCTCCACCCCACCCCACCCTCCTCCCCATCCGCCCCCATCCCCCTCCCCTCGCGCATCCCTTCCCTTCGCATGTCCCTCGCTCTCCTCACCCTTTTCCGATACCCAAACCTCCTCCCACTCCCCCTTGCCCCTACCATTCCCCTCCCCTCTCCCATTCTCCCCCTCTCCCTCCCTCTCCCATCGTTTCTTGTGCTGGGGGCGTTTCATCTTCGGCCCGGACGTACGGTCGCCGGTCATCTCCTTCGTCCTCACTCCCACTCCTCTTCGCCCCTGCCATTCTCCTCCCCTCTCCCATCCCTCTCCCCCCTCGGGCCTACTCCCTTACGCCCCCCTCCCCCGTCTTTCTATCGCCCCCACACCATTCATTCCCCACCCCTCGCCTTCTCCACCCTCCCCAGCGTTTCTTGTGCTGGGGGCGTTTCATCTTCGGCCCGGACGTACGGTCGCTGGTCATCTCGGTCGTCCTCATCCTCGTGCCCGGCACTCTCTTCTGCATCTTCGTTGCCGCGCCCTACGCGGGGAAGCTTCCCGGAGGCATCGCCGTGCTCCCCGTCTCCATCTGCTTTGTCATCTGGGTACGCGTTTTAGGCTCATAGGAGACGACTTTTGAGGCGCCTCAAAAGTGGGTACGCGTTTTAGGCTCATAGGAGACGACTTTTGAGGCGCCTCAAAAGTGGGTACGCGTTTTAGGCTCATAGGTAACAATGAACGACCTATGAACTGACTTTTGAGTTGACTCAAAGTCAGCCCATCTGCTTTGTCATCTGAGTACGCGTTTTAGGCTCATAGGTCCCTTGTTATGTTGAACGACCTGTGAAGGACCTTCTGACCTCCTTTCCCTTAAAAGTTTCTCCCAATACAACCCAAGCTTCTACCCCCTTACCCTCCTCTTGCTCTCCCTCTCCCTGATTTCCCATCCCTCCCTTCCCTCCCTCCCCTTCCTCCCCTCCCTCCCTCCCCACCACCGTCCCTCCTCTCTCAGAATCTCTTCATTCTACTCGTGACAGCGAGCAGGGACCCGGGCATCGTACCTCGCAACCTCGTGCCACCGCAGCCAGATGAGGAGGCAGGGAGTCTGACTTAAAACATCACTTGCCCGCCCCCGCCTTACTCCCCTTCACCAGAATCTCTTCATTCTGCTCGTCACAGCGAGCAGGGACCCGGGCATCGTACCACCGCCCCCTCCTCCTTCCTTCCCCCTTCCCATTCCCCCCTCCTCCTATTCCCCCCCTACTCTCTCTCCCTCAGAATCTCTTCATTCTGCTCGTCACAGCGAGCAGGGACCCTGGCATCGTGCCTCGCAATCTCGTGCCACCACAGCCAGATGAGGAGGCAGGGGAGCAGGCAGCGGGAGGGGCGCCGAAGAAGCTGCCACGAGCCAAGGAGGTGGTGGTGAACGGGCACACGGTCAAAGTGAAATACTGCGACACCTGCCTGCTGTACCGGTGGGTTATTTGAGTCGCTAGACCTCTTAAAATTGGGCGACTTGGAGCGATTGCTCTATTCTTATGGGTGCATGTCTTGCGCTTGAACTGCCTGGAAGCAAGAGCCAAGGAGGTGGTGGTGAACGAGCATATAGTCAAGTCACGTACTGCGACACATGCCTGCTGTACCGGTGGGTGTGTTGGGCGTGTTGTGTTTTGGTGAATCGGTGCAATGAGCAGTCTGCTGTGTGCTCTGTGCCCTTGTGTGCACTTCCCTCCCTTGAGGCGCCTCGAATGAAAGCACGAAGGTCTTGCACTCGTGTGCATTTGACGCCTCCATTTTCTTTTATTAATGTTTCAGTTGCTTCATATGAGCTGAGTACCCCCTTCTAACTGCCCTAAATCCTATTGTCCCGTTTCTTTTCCTTCAACCCCCTCTCCCGTTCCTGAATGGTGACAAACCAGGCCGCCCAGATGCTCGCACTGCAGCATATGCGACAACTGCATCGAGAAATTCGACCACCACTGCCCGTGGGTGGGGCAATGCATTGGACGGGTGAGCCGAGGTTTAGAATTTGGGGTTCGGGATTTCAAGCATAGGGCGGGTTGAGCATTTGACCACCACTGCCCTTTGGTGGGGCAGTGTATTGGACGGGTGAGCTGCGGGTGTTTCGGGTTTGGGCTTCAAGGTGGGGCAGGGTAAGCCTTAGTAATGCAGGGTGTGTTGTGGGTGGGACAGTGCATAGGCAGGGTGAGCCGAGGGTGTTGTTGGGGGTTCAGGAGTTCGGATTTGGATTTACGGTGGGGCAGGAGGAGCCTTGAGGGGGCTAATTTTTTTGTCGTCTCCTCATTCAATCCCTGAATGCCACTCAAAACTCGTCCCATCACAGTGGGATTCAGGGTGGGGTGGGATGAGCCTTGAGTGGGGCAGTGCATTAGGAGTGGGAGAGTATGGGTCTGGCTTCGTGCAATGTACCCTACCGCTCTCCATCGTCCTATCATCTTCCTGCGTGCATCCCTCCTTCCATGTTGCATCCGCATCATCCCTCCTTCAATGCTCAGTTCATGCTTCAATTTACCCAAACCACTGCCTAACCCTCTCTGCCCCAAGCCGGGAGGGTGTTTGGAACCCCACTGGTGCCCTCCCCTCCCCCTCCCCTTTAACCCTTGAACCTTTTCTTCATTCTTCTGCCCCCCTTTGCCCCCTCATCCCCGCCCGCCCCCTCTGCAGCGCAACTACCCCTTCTTCTTCCTATTCGTCACCACCACCACGATGCTCTGCATCTTCGTCTTCTCCCTCTCCGTCCTTCCAATTATTCTTTCCCCCCTCTCTCCGCTGCTCCTCATCCCCCTCCCTCCCCTCCCCCTTCTCCCGCACTCTCCCCTCCCCTCCTTGCAGCGCAACTACCCCTTCTTCTTTCTCTTCGTCACCACCACAACTCTCCTCTGCATCTTCAATCTTCACCCTCTCAGCTTTCTACATCAAGCTCCTCGTAGACAAATCCTACCCGGGCGCCAACGTTGGAAAAGGAGAACATGGCCCTCGGCCTCCCCGTTCATAACCCTTCACCTCATTCTTCTGCTCCCCCTTGTCCCCCTCTCCCCCCATCCTCTACCCTCCCTCCCTCCGCAGCGCAACTACCCCTTCTTCTTTCTCTTTGTCACCACCACAACCCTCCTCTGCATCTTCGTCTTCACCCTCTCAGCCTTCTACATCAAGCTCCTCGTGGACAACTCCTACCCGGGCGCCAGCGGGCAGAGCATCTCGCTGCTAGAGGCGCTGGGGAAGGGGTACATGGCGGCGGTGCTGATGGTCTACACGTTCATCATGGTGTGGTTCGTGGGAGGACTCACCGGCTTTCACTCCTTCCTCATCTCGCGCAACCAGGTGTGTGTGTGGCAAGAGTGGGTTGCTCTCCCCCCCCTAAGGGGTTAACAGCTGGGGAAGGGGTACCTGGCAGCGGTGCTGATGGTATACACGTTCATCATGGTGTGGTTCGTTGGAGGACTCACCGGCTTTCACTCCTTTCTCATCTCGCGCAACCAGGTGTGTGTGTGGCAAGAGTGGGTTGCTCTCCCCCCCCTAAGGGGTTAACAGCTGGGGAAGGAGTACCTGGCAGCGGTGCTGATGGTATACACGTTCATCATGGTGTGGTTCATTGGAGGACTCACCGGCTTTCACTCCTTTCTCACCTCGCGCAACCAGGTGTGTGTGTGGCAAGAGTGGGTTGCTCTCCCCCCCCTAAGGGGTTAACAGCTGGGGAAGGGGTACCTGGCAGCGGTGCTGATGGTATACACGTTCATCATGGTGTGGTTCGTTGGAGGACTCACCGGCTTTCACTCCTTTCTCATCTCGCGCAACCAGGTGTGTGTGTGGCAAGAGTGGGTTGCTCTCCCCCCCCCTAAGGGGTTAACAGCTGGGGAAGGGGTACCTGGCAGCGGTGCTGATGGTATACACGTTCATCATGGTGTGGTTCATTGGAGGACTCACCGGCTTTCACTCCTTTCTCACCTCGCGCAACCAGGTGTGTGTGTGGCAAGAGTGGGTTGCTCTCCCCCCCCTAAGGGGTTAACAGCTGGGGAAGGGGTACCTGGCAGCGGTGCTGATGGTATACACGTTCATCATGGTGTGGTTCGTTGGAGGACTCACCGGCTTTCACTCCTTCCTCATCTCGCGCAACCAGGTGTGTGTGTGGCAAGAGTGGGTTGCTCTCCCCCCCCTAAGGGGTTAACTGCTGGGGAAGGGGTACATGGCAGCGGTGCTGATGGTATACACGTTCATCATGGTGTGGTTCGTGGGAGGGTTGACTGGCTTCCACTCCTTCCTCATCTCGCGCAACCAGGTGGGTACAGGGTGCACTGGAGTTTACTAGCTCTCTTCAGCACCTGCTCGTGCCTCCCTGCTGGCCGTGCTGGGGAAGGGGTACCTGGCAGCGGTGCTGATGGTATACACGTTCATCATGGTGTGGTTCGTTCGTTGGAGGGTTAACGGGCTACGAGAAACTTAGAGCGCTCTACGAGAAGAAGGCCGACCCATACCCCAAAGGACCCTACAATCTCCATCCGTCTCCACCCTTTTCTTCCCTTGCTCCTCTCCTCCCGCCCTTGCTTCATCAGACCACGTACGAGAACTTTCGAGCGCGCTACGAGAAGAAAGCCAACCCATACAACCTCGGGTGTCTGCACAACTGGCGCTCCGTGCTCTGCTCTCCCATCCCCCCCTCCCGCCACAACTTCCGAGCCGACGCCCCCGAACCTCCCCCCACCGTACCTCCCGTTACCGACCCTACCTCCTCTTCCAACCATGCTCTGATACCAACGGCAAATACCAACGGGCACATGCATGACGACGCGCAGAGGAACAGAAATGGGGTGCCGTATATGAATGGTCTGGTCCCATATGCCCCTTATGCTCAGTACAACACCACGCCTTCAGACCCTGCTGCTGCTGCTGCTGCAGTGCCGGCAGGAACAGCAGCAGCGGTGGCAGCGGCAGCAGGTGTGGCAGGAGTAGCAGTCAATGCAGTATCAGTGCCACGAGTAGGATCAGGAAGAGCGGGAGGGCTAGGAGGAGGGGGAGTAGGGGGACTGGAGGCTGGGGGAACGAGCGTGATAGACCCAGCAGCAGCAGCCGACGAATCAGAAGCCCCCATTCTTCCCGCCATGCGTAACCGCAACTCCCGACCCAACTCCCGCCGAACCTCCCCAGCCTCCATACCTGGGTCTCGCCGAGCCTCCCCGGTAGGCTCGTGGAAAGGCTCCCCAGGACACGGTTCAAAGCGGAATTCTCCCCACCACCACGGGTCGTCTCGTCTCAGTTCCCCAGGTCTATCTGGCAGATCTCCAGTCAATAAGAGGCAATCAGAATACGACTTAGTAGAAGCAACCCGACTGACGGACGACGAAGGAGGCAGGATTGCAGATCGGATAGTGGAGCTTGGGAGAATGCCGGATGATTATATGGCAGGTGGAGCCGGGGAGGAGAGTGTGGATAGCAGTGGTGTGCCGAGGAGTGTGAGTGGGAGGAGGAGTGGGAGTGGGAGGCGGAGAGGTGAGGAGATTGTGGTGCTGGAAGGAAGTGAAGGGAAGGAACGGAGAGATGAAGTGGGTGGTGGTGAAGAGGTGGTGGTGGATGTGCCAAGTGCAGGGTGATGCTTTGACATGAGATGAGATACAAACGTGCGCCGAAAACAAACATGCTTTGGCATGGGGCTGAGTGTTGATTGACGCTTTGACTCGAGATAAGATGACACGTCACACACGTGGCGGTAGTATTATCACATGAGATGAGATGAAACAGCTAGTGGCATGCCAGTTGTGGGTCTCCTGAAATTTTTATGTAGTGACCTGCTTGGTTGTTGGCTTTATGATCAATGCATGTGTTGGTGTTTTTGCATGTTTACTTCTGTACACTAATATACATCCAGTCTTAAACTGATAATTCACTGGCTTAGCAATTAGATACACAACTTCAGTTATCTTTCACCTGAAATACATTTCATAAGTTGAGCCTGCCTAAACGTGTACATTATTCAGTGCAGGTTCAAGAAACTCCGCATGATGAAGAAACTGAGCTCTGTCAGACATGTGGCGGTGTTTCCCGCGCAAACAACCGCAACCATGATTCTCCCGCGCTTCGTGGATGCTGTAACTTCTCTCACGAAACTTATCGAAACTCTCGGAAGTCAATCATCCCGCAAGCGAAGGGCCAAATTTTTCGGTTTCACGAAAGTGAGCCTGTCCGCCGACAGTGCGGCGGCCTCCCTCAGGGCTGGGGAAGGGAAGCAAATGCCTTGCTGCTTTCTTCCTCTTCTCTCTCTTGTTTCAGTGGATCCCTGTAAACCGCTCTGAATCTCTCTGAGTTCCGAGACATGCCCCACTGAACCACTCTTTTCACTCCCTGAATCTCATTATCAAGCGTCCCTGAACGCCATTCCCATGATCACCTCGCTCAGACTCCTAGTCCTAGAGAATAGACTTGTTTGGTTCCTTGGAATCCATGGCCGCCGTCTGAAGTTTTGTCACCAACCGTTAACCAGGACTAAATCTTAATCTTCGTAGCAGCTTTTTTTTTGTAGATCTTATGTTCGAGTTTTATGGTCTAGCATGATTGAGGAATACTCAAGGGTCAACTCGTTTCGTCAGCTATCCATTATGGCGGCCGTATAGATTAAAGACCGTTAAATACCTCTCCAGCACAGTCCTAGTCGTATCTGAAGATGATAAAGCGATACTACGTTATTTTAGGTTAGAGTCGCTCGCTCGATTATAAATCAAGTAGCATCTCCCTATTCAATACCGTATTCTGAATGATTAGGCCGTTATCTGAAGCGCCATTATGATCGTCTAGCACTTTGAAAAAACTCTGCTTAAGGCCGTCAGATACGGTCTCGTGACGTCGATTCGGCTCATAGTGATGCCTCTCGGCTCTTCTTCAGCCCGTCATGAGCCATGGATCACTAGGCGACAGCCACAGCTGGTTCAGGCCGCAGCAACGATGACGCCGTTCTGAAATCCGATTTCTGAAATTCGACTTCTGAAACACGAGTCGAACACGACGTCACTGACCGAGGCACAGACCGAGACGGAGGCAGGGATTTTGAAATCGTAAACGGTGTCTTTGGACGGGGACGACGGAGACGGCGAGTTCTGACGACAACGATAGAGATGAGAGGTGCTGACGGTGACGTTCGCCTCAAACGGAGACATAAATTCCCGACGGACGATGGTGACGGCGACAATCTAGACATATCTGACGTTACGAGGAGGAGCTCTAACGGTGGCGATTGACGTCTTCTGATGGTGTCGATTGTATTTGACGGTGACGTAGAGGATCGGTGTCGTCTAATTGTTGGGAGTGATGGTCGAGACGGCGAGTTTTTTTGCCGCTGATCGAGAATAAGACGGAGTTTCTGGCGGCGTTCATCCCGTTGAGGAGTTCTTACGGCTGATTGGCGTCGTCTGATAAGGTTCAGAGGATGGAGACGGACGATCTTCTAACGGTGACGGGGAGGTTCCTTGTTGACGACGGAAGCTGCGTTGACGGCGAAGGCGAAACCGAAGTCGAGGCGAAGGCGAAGTAATATTTGACGGAGTGGAAGCTGCTCTGACGGCGACGATATGCTGAGATCTCCAGAGACGCAAAATCTCGTTCCTGACTGGGACGGCGAGTCTTGAGGATCGGACGATCGGACGGCGATTCTGATGTTGAGATCGCGATAAGTGCTGACGGTGACGATTAAGTCTGGGATTTTCGACGGTGACGAGGCGAAAATCAAGACTACGACTGAGGCGGGGAGTTACGTCGACGATCATGGCGGAATCGTGGAAGGCTGACGAGTGCGACGTGTTCGTCAATGATGACGATCCAGTCGCCGTTGCATGGCGTTGATGCTGACGATCCAGTCGCCGTCGCATGGCGTTGATGCTGACGATCCAGTCGCCGTCGCATGGCGTTGATGTTGACGATCCAGTCGTCGTCGCATGGCGTTGATGCTGACGATCCAGTCGCCGTCGCATGGCGTTGATGCTGACGATCCAGTCGCCGTCGCATGGCGGTGATGCTGACGATCCACTCGCCGTCGCATGCATCGGAACCTATACCTGTGTGTCAAACAGCATGCCATCCAGTGGCTTGATGTTTGATAGGCATCGCTGGGGAAGTTTTCGCGATGCCTGGGACTGGCGTGTTGCAATACACACTTACAGCGTGTCACCTGCAGGTTGATTTCAACATCCCATGCGGCATCATTCCCAACCCCAGGTTTCGCTCCACAATCGAACTCGCCATTTCCCAAAGCGCGCAAGTACTGTACAAAGCCAATTGCGGAAAAGGGTTCGGTACTCTTTTTTTCCGGGTCAAGAGTTTCGGGTTGATGCAAAACATTTGTGAATAAATCGAAGCGGGACTGTTCGCAATCAAGTGACTCTACATTTTTCTAATATAAGCCTACGAAACAGTTTGAGAATTGAAATGGTGAATCATTGTTTTCGTACATAAACTCAAGCTAGCTTACAACGGATCGTTTCGCGGCCGAGGCGGCGGTACTGTAGCTTTGTGGTTACCGAATGGTTGTTACGGTTTTCCATTTATTATGTTACATTTGTAACCGTATTAACATTAGTCACCGTGGTTACCAAGAGTTCAAACAATTTATTTATTTCTTCATTACAGCAATCCGTACAAACTAATAATTGTCCTGGGGACGTAAACTGGGCCAGTTTCAATTACGAATTTAGCAACAGCAGCATTAAATAGAACCTGCACCACGACCAATACAGCAATTTGGACATACACGGCACGATAAATCCAAATTTTAAATAATTGACGTCAACTCAACGAGCAGAAAACCAGCATTACATCACTATTGCGACCTAAAACAGGTACGTCCACGATCATGCATATTAGCAAGACTCCGGTCAAAACTCACTAATAGCAAACACACAGAGCGACAACCACCTGCCGTGCGGATCGCCGGGAATTCCGCAACCTGCAAAAAGAACACAGTTAGAAGAAAACAGCCTCACCACGGGTTGAGAAGCCTATGAAGACTCTTGTCATACGATTCCTGCGCAGTAAAGAGAGACAGAACACAAGCAAAGCGAGAAAACATTACGTCGCGCGGGCGCATTATGTAGGTTGGAAAATCAGTATAACACCGTGCAGAACTGCGCGACAACAAGGGAAACATTTTAGTGGTGAATGCATTTGAGTAAGACGCACAAGTGCTGAACATACACAAAAAGCGAACGCAAAACAATTAATATGCACCAGAGAGTATCCTGGTAACGGCAAGGGGAAGGGCAGAAACCGAAAGGAAGGCGGCAAGGGAAACGGCGGCGGAAGAGACAACAGGAAGGGCGGAAGCGGAAAGGGCGGCGGGATCGGTGGCGGAATTCTGGGAGCGCTGACTGGCGGAAACTCGACGAGCGGATGGGGCGCGGGAGGCATAGGGCTGCTACGACTGGCACCGCAGCGCTGACGCTTGT